CAGGTGTTAGCTCCTCCTGGAGGAGGAGCCCAGGAGTGAGCTCCTCCTCCAGGCTGAACTGTTTGTGCAAAGGAACAGGAGCGGCGCCCTGCTGCCTCCTACGGCCTGCTGCTGGACGGAGAAGATGAGACGTCGTCAGGGTCAGATGACTCTGGGGACTCCAATACAGCGCTGTCCTTAGTGCTGGAGCTGTCCTTGGTGCTGGAGCTGTCCTTAGCGCTGGAGCTGTCCGTGGTGCTGGAGCTGTCCTTGGTGCCAGAACTACCCTTGGTGCTGGAGCTGTCCTTGGTGCCAGAACTACCCTTGGTGCTGGAACTATCCTTGGTGCCGGAACTACCCTTGGTGCTGGACCTGTCCTTGGTACTGGAGCTGTCCTTGGTGCTGAAGCTGTCCTCAGCCTCAGCAGATGTGCTGCTGTTGCTGGTCTGACCATCTTGACCCTCTGAGTTTTCCAGCATCTCTTGGATGAGAGGTGGCATGGAACCTGGAATCTCCATCTTCAGAGAGATGACCCGCTCAGCTCCTGAAGAACAATGACAACGATGTTGATGAGGCTCACTCAGACTGAAGCTTAAACCAATCACGATTTTACTGATTAGAACCACAACAGACGACGTCTTTCCTACCTTTAGCACTGATGCTGCGCAGGTCCGTGATCTTCATCAGGGTCTTGGGGAACATGTGGGGTTTGCTTGGCCGCCGCTTTCTCACGTAAATCTTTAGAGCCTCGAGTAGCGGCTCCTGGAGCTCGTCTACCTTGGAAGGCTCCTCCAGGTCCTGGCGGTCTACAGACAACAACATCTCAGATTATTTTAAGCAGAAAACTGAGCTACACACCAAGTGGCCGGTGGAGATGGCAGAACATTTGCTACAACATGGCTCCCGGCATCAGTTAGTGGATGCAGAGGGTAAACGGTGAACTTCAGGAAGGAAAAAGACAGCATTAAACTCAGTGGATGTTTGGGGCTTTAATGTGACGCTCTGCCTTCATCTTCATCATTTTGATTCAAGCCTTCTATTGGGAAAGTCATCTGATGTAGAGGACTGTTCAGAAGTGCAGCAATGCAAACGGCGCAATCAGGGCAAACAGAAGGGAACAGGAAGACTTGTGACAGCTAATCAGAGGCTCCTTGAACTGGGAGCATCTCTGGAGGATCTGGTGGATCCAGAGACGCTGGAACCACTGCTCAGCTTATTATCAATAAAGCACCGTGATTGGCTCGGTTAAGTCCAGCTCCGCCATGTTGAACTGAACAGATCTTTAATTGGCAAACATAGATGCTGAATATGGAACATCAAAGATATTTTACACAGAAACCAATCATTGTTCTACTTTTATTGATTCAGTCATAACATCTTTTACATTTATCAGTTATTTGATTCTGATGACTCAATACGGAAATACAAAGCTGATAAAAATATGGTAGCATGAATACAGCCTTGTTATGAATCCAATCTCTTTATATAAAATATAAACCTGAATCTAACACTTTTATCTTATCATCCAACTAAACTAGTAATTGGTCTAAATTCTTCTCTTCATCATCCAATAAGAATCGTTCCTTATTTTAGAAAGATGTTTTTTCTGCTCAACATCAGGTTCCTTATTGGAACTGGTTGTTAATCATCTTAATTGAAAAAAAAAAGGAAACTATCAGTTAAATGCTTCCCAGATAATATGATGAAAGAAATAAGAGGAAAATTTTTACAGCGTATTCAGAAAGTCAGAGACTTAACCTTCTCTGTTGGTGAACAAAACCCTGAGGATGCTTTTCCTTTTTTGTAGTCTTGCTCCTTTTATAACAAACTCTGGAAAGACATCTTGTTTTGAACAACATCTTTCTCTTTGCTTTGACCGTCATGCTTGGTTTCATCAACTTTCATTCAGTAAAGATAAAGATATTTTAAATAGTTATTCTCATATATGAACCCAAAGGCTGAAACAATAAACAGGAACCTCTTTTCTCCTGTTTTGAAGAAAGTTTTCAGACGATATTTAATAACAACTAAATACTCTGCTGTGTCAAAGGAACCATGTGATCCTATAGGCATTTTCTTTAGTGGAAGCTAAAGAAAAGCAGATATAGTAAGTTCAAAGGTTGCCGGTCTTAATCTTTATTTCAGTTTGAGCTTCATCACTGCAGACATGACTCCAGTGATGAAGGTGTCTGTCCTCATCTTCTCAGATTAAATGCATGGTTTTATCAGTAGTGCAGCGACATGTTAGCATAAAGTAATCATTGAGTCAGAGCCTTTTTCCATCAGTCTACTAAACAGGATGGTGAGGGAAGCTAATACCGAGGTAAGTCAGCAGGGGGCAGTGTGTACTTTCTAATGTTGGACCTGCTGTCAGAGGACTGGTCTTCTTTTCTTTTCATGGATTATGCAAGAGCCTGTAATGTTTGTGTGGACTGAACTGATGGAGAACCCAGCAGCGACGGTAGCAACGCCCCAAACAAGGTGTGTGTGTGTGTGTGCGTGTGTGTGTGTGTGTGTGGGGGGGGGTGTTGGGCTTAAGGTAGTAAGGAGAGCCAGACATGGGAAATGACCAAAACGGAACGACTGAGCACCCAGAGATGGAGCTATTCATGCTGCTGTTCACCATGTTATAGAGCTATGGATTCCAGCTCTGCTCCGTCCACAGCAGGCTGCAGCTTCGCTCTGACATAAATCACCTCACCGAGGGAAAAGAGAAGAACCGAGGAAACACTCCGGCCTGGTATCATCCTCCAATCAGGAGCAAATGATGTCATTAGGCTCCACTAGTTAAAGTTGGTCTCAGACTGAACTGAACTGGCAGGTGGGATGACGAAAGTTCCCAGCAGTCACCATTTAGGAGACCTTTATACCACACTTCCTTTCTCTTCTTTTGGCTCCTCCTTCTTCTTCTTTGACTATTTGAGCTGATGGAACAAGTACATGTATCCACTCTGAGATCAATAAAGTCAATCAATCAATCAATCAATCAATCAATCAATCAATCAAGTCAATCAATCAATCAATCAATCAATCAATCAAGTCAATCAATCAATCAATCAATCAATCAATCAATCAATCAATCATACTGGTTCCAGAGGTCTGCAACCTTCCTCCTGATCTGCTGGGTTAGCTAATGGCTAACTTATAAGGAAGGTGCCTGTTCGTTTCTGGGCTTCCTACAGGAAGAACGATGAGACAAAGTTTAAACAACAACCTGATTCATGCGAACCGATGAGCTAAATGCTTCCTGCTCTGAGTGATGGACCAACGGTTTCTGCAGGTTTTGCTTCAGAGCTGAAGAACAAAGAAACAAACAGCTAGTTTTATTCAGGTCCAGAAACTTCTCTAAGCTGAAGGTTCTGCTTGGTTCTACCTGAACCTTTCTAAGCAAAAGCACATGGAGGGTCCTGCTGCAGCTGATTGGGTACTGCAGTTGGTCAGGACTATATTTTAATCATGTGGGAAACCAACCCTGAAGCTACCAGGAAAGCTCAGAAATAGAGTTGTGGTTCACAAACCTCCGGAGATGAGACAGATGGCGCTGAGGAGACCCGTCTCTGTGTCGTCCATCTCAATGGGCAGCAGCTGGTTGGCAAATGTGAACACCAGGTCAGTGAGCGGGCCGAAGCCAGCGTTGTGCATCTGTGTCCGGTTGAGGGTCAGTCCGTCTGAGAAGGTCATGGTGTCCTGATCAGGAGTGTACCTGGTGCAGATGCGTAGAATCTGAAGACAAAGGACAGAACAGAGGGATCTGGTCAGAGGAACGGATGCAAAACATGACCATTTGTTTTCAGTTTGCTCTGCAGGCTCGTTTCCACAGCCTGCCTCCAAACATAGAAATAATAACAAGTTCAACTTTCTACAATAATCAGCAGGCTAAACAAAGTGGTTCACAATCCAATACAAAGAAACATGATACACATATTTAAACTGAGTTAGAGATGGATGAAAAAGGGACTAACAAGCTTCAAGAGACAACAGACTGGATGCATCAGAACCAGAGAGACTGGAGGCATCAGAACCAGAGAGACTAGAGGCATCAGAACCAGAGAGACTGGAGGCATCAGAACCAGAACCAGAGCATTTCCCCTCAGCTTCCC